CTGTGCCAAAACACAACCCCAACGATGGTGACAGAGAGAACCCACATTATCACCAATACTGGATTCCTTGATGATTATTTCCTCATCGATAAGGTTACGGAGGTTTCAGGCTTAATGAACTTTTCTGATTTTCTCATCTCTCTCTCAGGTTGCTTCATGAATCGACAGTCATGAGCCCCTTACCACAGTAACTGAGGAGATGAATATCCATGCTAACCAAAGAGGGGCAAGAGCTACTAAACTAATGTGATAAACAAGATTCTCGTAATTCTCTAGGTGCACTCAGGCCCAACACAAGCTGGGAACCTCTCCCCAAGAAGCCTGCTCCTAAAATCTGAAGTAGAGGAGACAAAAGTACCTCAAGGAGCTCTCACTGGGTGAAGACTGAAGCCAGGGGAGCATGACCCATGGCCATATGCTGTGTGGCCTGGGGGTGCAGGGCAAGCAGCTATTATAATCTATTTGGTCACTTAGCCTCGCCTTAGAGTTCCCTCCCTGTAGCTGGTAAGCCTGAACTCTCAATTTATAGATTTCTTTGTTTATTCTAAAGGAAAGAAGCAGGAAGTTCATTTTTACCGGTGACCTTGACTAGATGTCTTTGATGATGAAGTTTAATAGGTTAAAGGTTCATCCTAGTTTATTTATGTCATTATAAGATGACGCCATCCTTGTTTTTATATTTTTTCACATTTAATGAGTGTACTTCTTGTAATAAATTATACCAAACACACACGCACGCACACAATTTAAAGCAAAAGTTTTTCCGTTTGTTTTTTCTTTTTTTTTAGTTTTTAGTTTCTTAGGTTTTCTGTTTTGTGTTTGTTTCTTAGTTTTTCCACTTACTCATTTTTATTGTAACTCCACTCCAACCTATAGTACAAAATAGTGTCATATTATTTTCAAATATTTGCCTGGACTTTTAGAACAATAATTGTTTTAAGTCTTTCTAAAGCACGTTAGACTTTACTAGAAAAGTTTTAAAATATGTCACCTCCGCAGTTACTCATCAGATACAACTTGTGTATCATACATAACATATGTTGTATCATCTTTGTTTTATCTTCATTTAAAGAACAAAATGTTCTTCCAATGGGGAGGAAAAAAAGTTGCAGAAATCATTTACAGGGCGGTTAATTCACCCTTCTAGCTGTAGGAAATATGAAGAAATGGGTCCCCCTAGTGTTCCCCGAGTGCTGCTGCAGGATGCCAACGCACTAACTTGTATCAGAGCTTCTCAGACTTTTTAAAAAATATTTCATTTATTTATTCATGAGAGACACACAGAGAGAAGCAGAGACATAAGCAGAGGGAGAAGCAGGCTCCCTGCAGGGAGCCCGATGCAGGACTCCATCCCAGGACCTCAGGATCACGCCCTGAGCTGAAGGCAGATGCTCAACTGAGCCCCCCAGGCTCCCTCAAACTTTAAAGTGTACAACATTATCTGGGGATCTTGGTAAGATGTAGACTCTTATGCAGAAGGTGAGGGGTGAGGACTGGGATTCTGCATTGCTAAAAAGCTCAAAGAGGATGCCAGTGCTGCTGGTTCGTGGTATTTTAATGCATTTGATGATGTCTAGTTGTGTAAATAGAATCAGAAAGTTGTAATTACTTGTAAAGATCTTTTTAGATATTAAAAATTCAGAAGTCAAATTCATTTTCCCCTTTTCTACCAGAGGCCATATTTAGTGGAAATGAATTGGTTATGTTGAATTACTAATTTCAGAACAGCTAATTGCCCTAAATGAAATTCCTTTGATGATTGACCCTTACTTTTGTAACTACAACATCTAAGAACATGCCTACTTATTCCTTTGCCCACACCTTACTGTTAAAGCAGTTCTAAGAACAATGTTCTGTGTTCTATTTTGTCTTCCTAGCAGCTGGCAATGGCTAAATTATAGCAGATGCCCAGCTTACTGGTCTAGAGAGGTGAATTTTCCAGGTGAGAGAACAAAAAGCAGGTGGGCATAGAGCGCCTCACCTCTAGCCATACAGTTGCAGGGAGACCTAGCCCAAACAGTGTTTACTATGAGAGTCTGCCACATAAGGGGAGAAGTCTGTGTTAGGGACTGTCTTTCCTGAAGCAATCCATATGATGTCTTCACAAGAATAATAAATGCTCATGCTTATTGGACCTTCACTCTGCTCAGCACTTACTGGATCATATCTGTACCTTTTCTGTCATACTCAGCACCACAACCAAATGAAGAAGGCACTACTGCTCTTGCCATTTGGTCAGGGAAGCCGCTTTAATAGCCCTCCTGGGTAATCTGCTGACTCGGGACACACACCCAGGACCACCTCATTCAAAAACTCTTGTTTTAAACCACTTTGCTACCGCATTTAACACTAGCTTGTGAATGCACAATTTCTGTGCTTCTCTTCCTTAGATAGTTTGCTGCTGGACTTCAAATATGTATGCATAGTATACAATCCCAAAAACATAAAAGCTTAATCTGTAGCCTTAAAGTGTTGTAAATGCCAGTTTTGGAAACTTGGAAAAGTCAACATCTAAACAGCTTTATAGTATCTCTGAAAGACTTGAGTGAAAATCAATGTAAAAGCCATTGTTACTTTTGGTTTGCTTCCTTCCTCTGTCCCTTCCCCCACTAGTCCCCCTCACTTTTTACAGTCATCAACTACAAGCAACGAAGAACTTGGATTTGCCATGTCTAGACTGAGGTTCCAATTCCTTTAAAGTTACAGGTGAACCAGAGTGTTGGGAGTAAGTCACTTACGGCACTTGCTGCTTTGCAATTTAATTATTTATTCAGTCATCTGTCCCTTCTACTGGTCTGTGTGTGCCTATAGGGCAATAACTCTGCCTGTCTGATTTTAGTATTCCAGTGCTTAGCTTTGTGTCTGGTGTGTGAGCACTTCATGTTTGTTGAATATATAAATTCATGAATAATTAATAAGTCTAATTAAATCAGGCTGAGATTGAAAAATTCCCCAAGAAATGTTCATATTTGGTCCACTAGGTGGCAGACTTGCCTAATCTTAGATGGCTACTTTTTTTTTTTTTTTTTTTTTTTTTAATAATGTTGAAAGTCTCCACTTGAAGAAAGGAAAACCATTTAGAGAGACCCATCTCCCCCAAGAACATCTCTGGACCACGAGTCATTCTTTATGTTCAAGATAGTCAACTTACTGCATTATAACACCGACTACATTATAAATCTTTGTCCCCTGAAACCTCTGGTCTTGTATTATGAAATCATCTTTGAGTGATGACTTGATGTTGACATAACATTGGAGGCAGAGATGAGAAAGACCCATAAGCCTCTGGTTGATATGAGAATGCATTGCTAAGAAAAAGTTTGAAGATTTGTAGGAAGTACACAAGAAAAATCACATAATTCTTACACTTTTTGAGTGTAAGAATTTTGTACACTTTAACAAACTGGTTGCAATTTTATGGTATTGCATGTATTATGTCTACTATTCTCATTTTAAATGTATTTTACACTGAAAAAATGTCTTGATTTTAAAATATTCTTAAAGTAAGGGGCATCTGACTGGTTCAGTCAGTAGAGCATGTGACTCTTGATCTCTGAGTCATAAATTCAAGCCCCACATTGGGCATAGAGATTACTTTTAAAATATATCTATTGTTAAGATAATAGAAAAGATTTTTTTGCCACATACAGAGCAAATTACTAAATCATGAATAAATAAGAGACATTAATACCAACCTTACAGGAATAAAAATGATCATAAGAGAACATAGTAACAATAGTATACCAACAAATTAGGTAATCTAGATGAAATGGATAAACAGCTAGAAAGACACAAACTACCAAAATGGATATGAAAAGAATAAAAAATTTGAAAAGATGTCCAATGAGTAAAGAGATTGAATCAATAATTTTAAAAACTTCTCAATAAATATACATATATATAAAATTTAAAACTTCCACAAAGAAAAGCCCAGGGTCAGATGACTTCATTGGTGAATTCACCAAAGATTTAAAGAAGAATTCACCTCAATTCTTCATAAACTCTCCCCCAAAAAAACAGAGGAGGAGGAAACACTTTCGAATCACTCCATTTGCCCAAAATTAAACTAATACTAAACCAGATCTAGACATCAAAAGAAAACATCAGGCAAATAATTACATATGCAAAAATAATCAAGAAGATACTAATCCATTCATGGATTAGAAGTTTTAATATTGCCAAGTTGGAGATATTTACCAGAGTGATCTACAAATTTAATGCAACTGCTATCAAAATCCAAGCTTCTTTTGAAGAAATTGACAAGCCAACTTTCAAATGCATATGGATATAGAAGGGACTCAGAAAAGCCAAAAGAATCTTACAAAAGAACAAAGTTGGAATTTCTGGACTTCAAACCTTACTATAAAACTATAGTAATTAAGACTGTGGTATTAGCACAAATTTACACGTGTAGCTTAATGGAATAGAATTCAGAAGACAGAAATAAACCTTCACATTTACAGTCAATTGATTTTCAACGAAAATGTCAAGACAATTCAATGAGGAAAAAATATTCTCCTCAATTAATTGTGCTCAGACAACTGATATCCACATGCAAAAGATTAAAGGTGGACTCCTACCTCATGCATATTTTGAGTCAATATACAAATGTTAGCTCAAAATAAATCAAACACATAAATGTAAAAACCAAACCTATAAAACTCATAGAAGAAAGCCTAGGAGTAAATCTTCATGATCTTGGTTAGGAAATCACTAGATATGACACCAAAACAAAACAAAAAGATAATTTGGGGATCCCTGGGTGGCGCAGCGGTTTGGCGCCTGCCTTTGGCCCAGGGCGCGATCCTGGAGACCCGGGATCGAATCCCATATCGGGCTCCCGGTGCATGGAGCCTGCTTCTCCCTCTGCCTGTGTCTCTGCCTCTCTCTCTCTCTCTCTCTCTCTCTCTGTGACTATCATAAATAAATAAATTTAAAAAAAAAGATAATTTGGACTTTAGCAAAATTAAAAACTTCTGTACATGAAAGTATACTCTCAAGTGCTGGCTTCGGCAGCACATATACTAAAATTGGAACGATACAGAGAAGATTAGCATGGCCCCTGCGCAAGGATGACACGCAAATTCATGAAAGTATACTCTCAAAAATGTGAAAAGTAAACCCAGAGTGAGAGAAAACATTTGTAAATCATATATCTAAGGATTTGCACTTCAGTATATAAAGAACTATTATAAGTCAATAACAAAAAGACAACCCAATTAAAAAATAGATAAAGGACATAAATAGATATTTTTTCAAAGAAGACAGATAAGTGGCAAATAAGCCAATGAAGGTGATGATTAACATCACGATATTAGGGAAATGCACAATGCACATCAAAACCACAATGAGAGGGATCCCTGGGTGGCGCAGCGGTTTGGCGCCTGCCTTTGGCCCAGGGCGCGATCCTGGAGACCCGGGATCGAATCCCACGTCAGCTCCCAGTGTATGGAGCCTGCTTCTCCCTCTGCCTGTGTCTCTGCCTCTCTCTCTCTCTCACTGTGTGCCTATCATAAATAAATAAAAAACAAACAAAAAAAAAAAAAAAAAAACCACAATGAGAGATTATGTCACACTCACTAGAAAGGCTACAATAAAAAAACAGACAATAACAGTCTTGGCAAGAATGTGGAAAATTGGAACCCTAATACATGGCTGGTAGGAATGTAAAACGGTACAGCTAATGTAGACAAAAGCTTGGCAGTTCTTCAAAAATTTAAACAGAATTAACAGATGACCCTTCAATTCAACTCCTAGGTATAGACCCAAGAGAACTGCAGAACAGATAAACAAATCCTTGCACATGAATGTTCATAGCAGCACTAATCACAATAGCCAAAAGGTGGAAACAGCCCAGTATTCATCAACGGATGAATGGATAAATTGTGGTATATATATATATATATATATATATATATATATATATATATATTATTCAGCAAAAAGAGAAATGAGGTTCTGATATACACCACCACATGAATGAACTTTGGAAGCTTCATGCTAAGTGAAAGAAGCCAGACGCAAAAGACCACAGATTATATAATTCCATTTATGTGACATATTCAGAATAGATAACTCCATAGTGATAGAAAGATTGGTGGTTGCCAGGGATAAGGAGAATGGATAGTGACTGCTTAATGGGTACAGGTTTCCTTTTAAACTGATGAAAATGCCCTGGAACTAGACAGAGGTAGTAGTCACAACAACATTGTGAATGTACTAAATTGCATTGAATTGTTTGAAGTTATTAATTTTGTATGTGAATTCACTTCAGTTTAAAAAACTGCTGTGCTATGATTTTATTTGACTTTATGAATTATTGTTACATTTATAAAGTATTTGGAACTTCAATTTAAAAGTTAACTCCCTGGGACAACTGGATGGCTCCGTGGTTGAGCTTCTGCTTTCAGCCCAGGGTGTGTGATCCTGGAGTCCCGGGATCATCAGGCTCCCAGCATGAAGCCCGCTCCTCCCTCTGCCTGTGTCTCTGCCTCTCTATCCCTCTGTGTCTCTCATGAATAAATAAATAAATTCAGAAAAAAATATTAAAAAAATAAAAATAGGGCAGCCCCAGTGGCTTAGTGGTTTAGCACCTCCTTCAGCCCAGGGTGTGATCCTGGGGACCCAGAATTGAGTCCCATGTCCAGCTTCCTGCATAGAGCCTGTGTCTCCCTCTGCCTGTCTCTCTGCGTCTCTCTCTCTCTGTGTGTGTCTCCATAAATAAGTAAAATCTTTAAAAATAAAGGTTAATTCTCCTCCCCCAATTTTCTGTTATCTGTTACTTTATGACAGAATTCTAAAAAAAATTATTAAAAAAGATATCCAAAATATAAAATGGTTCTCGATTCCTAGAATATTCATGAGAGACACAGAGAGAGAGAGACAGAGACAGAGATAGAGACATTTGCAGAGGGAGAAGAAGGCTCCATGCAGGGAGCCCGACATGGGACCTGATCCCGGGTCTCTAGGATCAGGGCCTGGGTGGAAGGCCGCGCCAAACCATTGAGACACCCGGGCTGCCCTCTCTGTGTCTCTCATGAATAAATAAATAAAATCTTAAAAATAAATAAATAAATAATTTTTTAGATCATGTTGCCTGTAATATTTTTACAGTGGTACTAATAGCTTTTATCATAGTTATGTAGATCTTTATTTCATTGTATATACTTAATACATTAACAGCATTTCATAAAATTTATTTTGAACATATACTAAAATAGCGAATTAAAAGTAAAAGCTTGACAGAGGCCACTTAAAAGGCCTGGATGTTACTAGGTAGTTGGGATTAATTCATTACCTTTGTGGAAAACTAAATTTGTCTTTGTTTCCTGGCAGCTAAGGAATAAAGGAAAATATTTTTAGATCATATAGTTTTAATTTTCTGGTTGAAAAACAACCAACCAACTAAATGTCTATAAATTTATCTCAAGAAATAAATATATTCTTCAAACAAACAACAAACAAACAAACAAACAAATAACTGCTGTGAAGGGGCACATGGGTGGTTCAGTCTGTTAAGGATCTGACTCTTGATTTTGGCTCAGGTCATGATCTCAGGGTTTTGAGATTGAGCTCTATGTGAGCTCTACACTGACCTGCTTAAGATTCTCTCTCCCTCCCAGTCTGCTCGGATGTGCATGCATGTGCCCACACTTGTGTGTATGTGTGTGTGCAGGTGCACACACTCTAAAATTTTTTTTAAAATGAAAAACTGCTGTGAAGATGAGATAGCAGAATATATATTCTCTGTAATATCCATCCCTTACCTCATTTACTATGACCTTCCTTTTCTTCTTTGCTCCAACAAGAGTTCAAAAGGTCTTAGAGAGCTTTATAAATGCACACTTCCTTCCATCATGGCAATGAAAGGCCCACTGCTCCCTCTGCATGAAAGAATTGCTCTCACTGCCTCACTTAATTCACTCCTACTTGGATTTTGTCACCTCAGGGAGAAGCCTTCCCCAACTTCCCCAATGAAATTAAATTCCTTTTATAGGCTGTCATTGTCCCCATAATTCTCATTTCCAGCATTTATTACCATTACAATGTAAAATTAATTTGCATGAGTATCTCTGCCAATGAGACTGTAAATTGCAGGAGGGCAGAGATTATATTTGATTCATCATGGCATACCCAGTGTTCAGTACTTAGGAGGTGTTCAATAAACAATTAAGCATTTGAATGTTCAATAGAATAAATGAATATTCAAAAATTCTGTGCACAGTGCCTTGCATATATGAGGTTCTTAACATGTAGAAAAAAATTTTAGGAAAACAGTTTGGTGGATCTTAAAAACTTAAAGAATTATCATACGATCCAGTAATTCCACTTGTAGGTATGCATCCCTCTAGAAATGAAAGCAGGGACTTAAGCAGATACTTGTAAACCAACGTTCATAGCAGCATTATTCACAAGAGCCAAAAAGTGAAGACAACCCAAATGTCCATCAAAGATAAGCAAAATGTGGTATATCCACAAAATGGAATGTTATTCAACAATAAAAAAGAATAAAGTATTGATGAATGCTACAACATGGATGAACCTCAGAAATATTTTGCCAAGTGAAAAAAAATGAGACACAAAAGACCACATCTTTATGATACACCTTACATGAAATTTTCAGAATGGGCAAATCTCCAGAGACAGAAAGTGGATTAGTAGTTGCTTCAGAATGGGATGAGGAAAAAAGAAGGGGTAGTGCCTGCTAATGGGTACAGTTTCTTTTTGTGATAAGAATGTCCTTTAATTACATTATAGTGATGGATGGCTATATAACTTTGTAAATATACCAAAAACTATTATACCCTGTGAATCAGTAAATATTATGATATGTAAATTATCTTGATAAAGTTGTTTTTTAAATATAAAATAGTATATACTAGTAAAAGAACAAATTAAATTCAACATAGGTAGAAGAAAGGAAATAATAACAATAAACAGAAATCAAAATTAAAAACAGAAAAATAGACAAAATCAATGAAACTAAAAATTCGTTCTTTGAGATGATCAGTAAAACTGATGAACTATTAGTCTGATCAATATGGTAGGAGCACCTGGGTGGTTCAGTCAGTTAAGCATCTGGCTTCAGCTCAGGTCATGATCTCAAGATCTTGGGATGGATCCTGAGTCAGGCTCCCTGCTCAGCGGGGACCCTACTTCTTCCTCTCCCTCTGCCCCTCCACCCACTTGTGCACTCTCTCTCTCAAATAAATAAAATCTTTTTTTTCTTTTTTTTCTTTTTTTTTTATAAATTAATTTTTATTGGTGTTCAATTTACCAACATACAGAATAACACCCAGTGCTCATCCCGTCAAGTGTCCCCCTCAGTGCCCGTCACCCATTCACCCCCACCCCCGCCCTCCTCCCCCTCCACCACCCCTAGTTCATTTCCCAGAGTTAGAAGTCTTTATGTTCTGTCTCCCTTTCTGATATTTCTCACACATTTCTTCTCCCTTCCCTTATATTCCCTTTCACTATTATTCATATTCCCCAAATGAATGAGAACATACACTGTTTGTCCTTCTCCGGTTACTGTGGCCAAGTTCAAAAAGGGTGTTGCCTGAGTTCTCCTCTGGGATTTTGATGGAATCTTGTCTCACATTTAGATCTTTCATCTATTTTGAGTTTATCTTTGTGTATGGTGCAAGAGAGTGGTCCAGTTTCATTCTTCTGCATGTGGATGTCCAATTTTCCCAGCACCATTTATTGAAGAGACTGTCTTTCTTCCAGTGGATCGTCCTTCCTCCTTTATCGTATATTAGTTGACCACAAAGTTCAGGGTCCACTTCTGGGTTCTCTATTCTGTTCCATTGATCTATATGTCTGTTTTTGTGCCAGTACCACACTGTCTTGATGAACACAGCTTTGTAGTACAACCTGAAATCTGGCATTGTGATGCCCCCAGATATGGATTTCTTTTTTAAAATTCCCCTGGCTGTTTGGGGTCTTTTCTGATTCCACACAAATCTTAAAATAATTTGTTCTAAGTCTCTGAAGAAAGTCCATGGTATTTTGATAGGGATTGCATTAAACGTGTAAGTTGCCCTGGGTAACATTGACATTTTCACAATATTAATTCTGCCAATCCATGAGCATGGAATATTTTTC